GGGGGGTTTTGGGGGGTCTTGGAGGCAGGGAGTCTGGGGGGGTTTGGGGTTTTTTTGCCCTGCTCTCATCCTGTTTTTTTCCCCCTTCCCATCCCTCTTCCCTCTTTTTCTCCCCTTCCCACCCCCTTTCCCATCTTCTTTCTCATCCCATTCCTCCCCCATTCCCATCCCACCTCATTCTCATTCCCATTCCCACCCTCTTCTCCCCCAATCCAATCCCATTATTCCTCCCATTCCTATTAATCCTATTCCCATTTTCCCCATTATTCCCATTCCTCCCCATTTCCATTTCCTCCCTTCCCACCCTCATTTTTCAACCCCCATTTCTCCACATTCCCATTCTTCCCATTATTTATTCCCATTATTACCCCGATTCCCACTATCCCCATTATTCCCATTATCCCCCCATTACCATCATTCCCACCACTCCCCCCATTCCCATTTTCCCACTATCCCCATTCCCATCCCCCATTCCCAGTCCGCCGACGCCGCCCGGGCGTTTTTCCAGCGGAAAATCGAGTTCCTGACGCGGCAAATGGAGAAAATCCAACCGGCCCTGCAGGAGAAACACGCCATGAAACAGGGTGGGCACCCCCCCCAGGACCCCCGGCTTTGGGAGACCCCCTCACAGACCCCCGACTCCCCCAGGGCTTGGAACCTCAACGCCCCCCAACCCCCTTGGTTTTGGGGTCCCCCTGGGGTTTGGGGTCCCCTGACCCCTCATGTCCACCCCCCAGTTTTGGGGTCCCCCTGTCCCCAGTGTCCTCGCTGTGGGTTTTGGGGTCCCCCCAGTTTGGGGGTCCCCCCTGACCCCCCTGTCTCCCGCAGCCGTTCTGGAGATGATGACGCAGAAGCTGCAGCAGCTCACGGCGGCCCCGGGCGGGGCCAAGGCGTGACCCCCCTTCATCCTCCTCATCCTCGGGGGGGCTCGAGGGGGTGGCCCCCCAAATCCCGGCCCCCTCAGCCCCCCCCAAATCCCCCCTCCCGTTTTGTAGCAGCTTTTGCTGCCAACCCCCAATAAAGGAGAGACAGAGTGGGGGGTCCTGGGGGGGTTTTTGAGTGGGGCTGGGGGGCTTTGGGGGGGGTCTTGAGGCACAGGGGAGGTTTACTAGGGTAGGGGGGCTCTGCCACACCTGCACCCACACAATTTGGGGTAGCCTCTTCCTGGGTTTAGGACCCCCCTTCCTGCTCTTGTGGCCCCCCCCCCGACCCCCATCCTATTTTTGGATCCTCCTGACTCCCCCTCCCCAGTTCTGGGACCCCCCTGCTCTTCTGACTCCCTCCTTGGCTTTGGGGCCTCCCAACCTCCCCTCCCAGTTTTGGGGTCCCCTAGCTCCCCTCTCAGGTTTTGGGGCCCCCTTGACCCCCCCTCCTTGTGTTTTGGGGTACCCCCCAGCCCCCTCCCGGTTTTGGGGCTCCCATTTGCCCCCCCCCAAAATCCTGTTCCCCCCCCTCCACCCCCAAACCCCCCAAAACTCCCCTCCCCGGGACTTTTTGCTGCCCCCCCCCAAAGTTTTACCACCCCCCATGTGGGGCATTTTTGCCCCCTCCTCCCCCAAAAAACACCCCCAGGTCCCCCAAACACAACTTTATTCACAGCCCTGCCCCCCCCTCCCCTCCCCCACAGGGGGGTCCCGATGTCACCACTCCCCCCCGGGGGTCCCCCCTTCTTGTGTGTGTCCCCTCCCCCCCTATTTACAGCTTTGGGTTCTGGCACCGACAGGGACATTGGGAGCACTGGGGGGTCCGGGGGGGCACTGAGGTGACACGGGAACACGGAGGAATTTGGGGACACCGTGTCCCATTGTGTGTGGCACTGTCCGTGTGTCCCCAGCTCTGTCCCCATGTCCTGCCTGTGGCACAGCCCGTGTGTCCCCTGGCATGGTGTCACACAGTCCCTGTGTCCCCTCAGGGCACAAGGAGTGGCAGGTGCCCAGAGCTGTGCCCAGGGCAGAGCCACTGTGGGCCAGGTGTCCCCCTGTCCGTGTGTCCCCCTGTCTGTGTGTCCTCTGGCCATTGTCCCCATGTCCCCTTGGGGTACAAAGAGCCCTCAGTGCCCCCTCCGGTGCCAGGGCAGTGTCCCACTGTCCATCTGTCCCCTGTCTGTGTGTCCCCATGTCCCAAACAGCAGCCGGTGCCCTCTGCAGTGGCAGGGCCATGTCCCACTGTCCATGTGTCCCCTCCATGATGTCCCCGTGTCCCCTCAGGGCCCAAAGAGCGGGAGGTGCCCCCTCCGGTGCTTCCTCAGTGCCGCGCTCCGGGCGAAGCTCTCCCCGCACTCCACACAGATCAGGGGCTCCCCAGCCCCCTCCTCTGCCCCCTCCACCCCCGAGGACTCCCCCCTCGCCCTGGGGGGCTTCCCGGGGTACTGGGGGGCTCTCCGTGGCCGTGCCCCCCCCGCATGGGTTCGCTGGTGCTTGATGAGGTTCTTGCTCTGCGTGAAGCTCTTCCCGCAGTCGGAGCAGCCGTAGGGCCGTTCCCCGGTGTGGATCCGCTGGTGCTGGATGAGGTTGGAGCTCCAGGAGAAGCTCTTCCCGCAGTGGCCGCACCTGTAGGGCTTTTCCCCGGTGTGGGTGCGGCGGTGCTGCACCAGGTGGGAGTTCTGGGAGAAGCTCTTCCCGCACTCCCCGCAGGTGCTCGGCCGCTCCCCCGTGTGGGTTCGCTGGTGCCGCAGCAGCTTCGACCAGTGGCTGAAGCTCTTCCCACACTCGTTGCAGATAAAGGGGCGTTGCCGACCCCCCCCGCGGCGCCCCCCCCCTTCCTCGGACCCGCCCTGGGAGGGGCCCGGGGGTGCCCGCGGGGCGGGGGGACAGAGGGGGCTGTGGGGGATCACGGTCTGGATGATCTCCTGCGGCAGAATTTCCTCCTCCTCATCCTCGCTCACGATCCCGTCATCGGCTGGAGGGAGGGCAACCAACAAACAGAGGTACTGACCCCGGGAATGGGCACTGTGCCCTAGAAGGGGCTGTAACCTCCTCATTGCCCCCCCCAAAGGGGCTGTATCCCCGACCCAGGGTGGCTGGAGACCCCAAAAGGGTTTGTACCCCCCCAAATGGTCACTGCACCTCAAAAGGGATTGTAACCCCCCCAGGAATGGTCATTGTACCCCAAAAGGGTCTGTATCCACATCCCAGGGTGCCTGGAGACCCCAGAAGGAGTTGTGACCCCCCCAGGAATAGGCACTGTGTCCTAAAATGGCCCTCACTGACCCCCAAAAGGGGCTGTACTCCCTCCCAGGCAGTCTGGAGACCCCAAAAGGAGTTGTAATCCCCCCAAATGCCCTAAAAGGCTCTGTACCCCCTTACTGTGCCACAAAAAGGGACTGTACCCCCTGTCCCAAATGATCACTGCACCCCAAAAGGGGCTCTACCCTCCTCCTCAGGTGCCTGGAGCCCCCCAAAAGTGTCTGGAGCCCCCCAAAAGTCACTGTACCCTCCTCCTTGGGTACTTACTGCACCCCGAAAGTGCATCCCGAAGTGCCTGGACCCTGCAAAACTGCCCATACCCCCCTCCTGGGGTGCCTGGAGCCCCCCCCCCCCCCAGTTTTGGAGTCCCCCCTCACCGATGAAGACCCTCCTGACCATGTCCCCCTCGTCCCCCTCGTCCGAGTCCTGTAGCTCCACCACCTCAGGCTCCTCCTGCTCCATGGGGAGGTTTGGGGGGCCTGGGGGGAAACGGGGATCCTGAGCACCCCAAAACACACGTGGGACACACCCCCCGACCCCAGAAACACCCCCCCAAATCCCAAAGGACCTTTTGTGTCCCATTTTCTGCTGTACTGGGGATGGATCCTCTGAATCCAGGGATTTGGGGAGGGGCTGCTCCCTCCAATCCCTCTGTGCCCTCCCAAATCCCTCTGTGCACCACTCAAACTCCCCTGTGCCCCTCCTCAATCCCTCTGTGCCCCCCAAATCCCTCTGTGTGACCCCAAATCCCTTTGCTACCCCCCAATCCCTTTGTGCCCCCCAAATTCCTTTGTGCCCTCCAAAATGTGACCCCAAATCCCTTCTTTCCCCTCTAAACCCCTCTGTGTGCGCCCCCAAATCTCTGTGCTTCCCAAACCCCTCTGTGCCCCCAAATCCCTCTGTGTGACCTCAAATCCTTTTGTTTTCCCCCAAATCCATTTGTCCCCCCAAAATCCCTCCGAGTGACCCCCAATCCCTCTGTGCCCCCCCAAATGTGACCCTAACCCCCCTGCACCCTCCCCAATTCCCCCTGTGCCCTGCATTCTCCCCCCCTCACCTGTTCCTTGGGGGGTCTTGGGGGGTCCCACGGTTGCTCTGGACTCAGCTCCCGAAATCTGGGGAGGAAGGGGATGGGAGGGGTCACAGGGAGGTCCCAGGGGGGTGCCTTGTACCCCCCCCCCCGGAAACGGGGCTGAACTGAGCCCCCCCCACACACATTTAGGGGGGAAAAAGGGGTCTTGGAACATCACTGGGGGGTCAGGGCCCTCCCCCACACCAAATCCAACACGAGGATCTCCCAAATTTTGGGGGGAGTCTCCCAATGTTTCGCGGGGTCCTCACTCCCCTTCCTCCCCCAAACCCAAAGATGGATGTTTATCCCCTCCCCCCAAATCCATCGCTGCCTCCCCCCAACGCGCCCCTTCCCCCCAAATCCAAGACGGAGGGGGGGGTGTCCCAAATTTTGGGGAGGGGGGGAATCTCCTCATGTTCCGGGGGGGTCCAACCCTTCACAACCCCCAAAACGGCGCCTCATTTCCCCCCCCCCCAAGTCCATCACCCTCCCCATCTTCTCCCCCACCCCAAATCCAACACGGGGGGGCTCAAGTTACGGGGGAGGTGTCTCCCAATGTTCCGGGGGGTCCACACTCCCCTCTGCCCGAACCCCAAAGATGGCTGTTCAGCCCCATCCCCCCCCTCAAAATACATCGCCCCCCCCATCGCCTTCCCCCGCCCCAAATTCAACACAGGGGGGTCCCAAATTTTTTTTTGGGGGGTCTCCCAATGTTCCGAGGGGTCCCCACTCCCCTCCCCCCGCCTTTACAAACCCCAAAACGACCGTTCCTTCCTCGCCCCGCCCCCATCCATCGCCCCCTCCTCGTCCCCCCCCAGTCGCCTCCCCCCTCCCCAAATCCAACACGGGGGTGTTCCAAATTTGAGGGGGGGGGTGTCTTCCAATGTTCCCCAATCCTCTTCCCCCTCTCGCCCCAAAGATGGCTGTTCAACCTCCCCCCATCGCCCCCCGACTCACCCCTTTGGGGCCTCGTTCCTCGCGGATCCCGGACGGTCCGGGGGGCTCCAGGGCTGGTTTTGGGGGGGCTCTCGGGGGTGCGGGAGGTCCGGGGGGGTCGTTTCGGGGGGAGCCCCCGGGAGCGAGGCGGGAGCGGGGCCGGGAACAGGAAGGTCCCGTCATCCCGTTCCCCGGATACGCGACGGGAAAAGGGGGGAAAAAGGGGGGAAAACCTCGGGAAAAAAGGGGGGAACTTCCAGAAATTGAGGGTGTCCCATCCGTGACCCCCCCGGACAAAAAGCCGGGGAGGGGGTTTAGGAATCACCCGAATTACGGGGAGGTTGGGGGAGGAAGGGGGAGTTTTCCAATCCCCGGATGGGAAATTAAACGGGATTTTTTGAGTCGGGGGGGTTTGAGGTGAGGAGGGGGAGAAAGAGAGGACGCCCCCTCCCCCCAAAACAATACCCCCCCCTTTTCCTGCTTTGTGTAACGGCGGCTCCGCGCGTTTCCTGCCCCCCATTCCCCCCCCCCGGGAATTAAAAACGTTGGAACTACGCAACAGCCGGCAGGGGAAATAATGGGACTAGGGGGGTTGGGGTCGTGGGATAACGGGGTTGGGGGTTTGGGGGGTCCCCTGCACCCCTCAAGCCACTGAGACTCCCCCCCTCGATGTTTTGGGGGTGTGGTTTCTGCCCCACCCCTCGTGAATTAAAAATGGTTGGAATTACACAACAAGCCGGAGGGATCTCGGGATTCCAGGATAGAGGGACAGCAGGATCATGGGATAACGGGATGTGGGGTTGTGGTATCGGGGTTTTGGGGTGTCCCCTGTGCACCCTAAGCCTTGAGCCCCCGCCCGGTTGTTTTGGGGGTGTGTTTTGTGCTCCCCCCGGGAATTAAAAATGGTTGGAATTACTCAACGAGATGAGCCTGAGGGGTGAATAATTGGATCGAGGGGGTTGGGGATTGTGGGATAATGGGATTGGGGTTTTAGGGAGTCCCCTGCGCCCCCCGAGGCCCCCCCCCATGTTTTGGGGGTGCGTTTTTTGTCCCTCCCCAGTAATTAAAAATGGTTGGAATTACACAAGAAGCCAGAGGGATCTTGGGATTCTAGAATGGAGGGATTTTGGGACTGTGGGATAATGGGATGGTGGGGTTGTGGGATCGGGGTTTTGAGGTGTCCCCTGCACTCTCCAAATCCCTGCGATCCCCCCCTCTTGTTTTGGGGGTGCGTCTTTTGCCCCCCCCCTTTGGAAATTAAAAATGGTTGGAAATAGGGAATGAGTCAGGGTTTGAACTGGGAGTCACTGGTCTGAACTGAGGGGGATGTGGGCAGACTGGGAGTCACGGGTTTGAACTGGGAAGGGTCAGTGGCTTGGTGCCCCCCCAAACACAGGTTTTGGGGGGGGAGGTCCCCAGTGTCCCCGGGGGCTGTGTCCCCCCCATCTCCATGTGACTCCAAACCCAGGCGGGCCTTCACAAACACCTCGATTTGGGGGGGGGGGGTATTAAAAAATAATTTATTCATTTATCAATAGACCTTCCTCGTGCACACCACGAGGCCATTCCGGGGGGGACACACTCACCCCAGTGTCCCCATGGCCCCTCCGTGGTCCCTTGGGTTGGGGGTTGACACTGTGACCCCATCACAGCTCAGTGTCCTCACCGGGGTGTCCCGGTGTCATTGTCACCCACAGCCCATTGTGGTGACACCGTGGCCCTGTCACAGCCCAGTGTCCCTGCTGGGGTGTCCTGGTGTCACTGTCACATGAAGCCCATCACGGGGGTGACACCGTGACCCCATCACAGCTCAGTGTCCCCATCGAATGTCCTGGTGTTGTTGTCACCTGTAGCTTGTTGTGGGGGTGGCCCAGTCACAGCTCAGTGTCCCCATCGAGTCTCCTGGTATCACTGTCACCCACGGGCTGTTGTGGGGGTGACACTGTGACCCTGTCACAGCTCAGTGTCACCACTGGGGTGTCCTGGTGTCCCTGTCACCCACAGGCCGTTGTGGGGGTGACACTGATCCCGTGATCCTCTCACTGCTCAGTGTCCCCACAGTGCTGTCCCAGTGACCCTGTCACAGCGGGGGTCACACTGTGACAGTGTCCCTGTCAGGCTGCCCCCGTGTCGCTGTCCCAGTCACAGCCCCGTGTGGTGCTGACACTGTGACCCTGTCACAGCCTGATGTCCCTGTCCTGCTGTCCCCATGTCACTGTCCCAGTCACAGCCCGGTGTCCCCATCAAAGTGACACTGTGACCATGTCATATCCAGGTGTCCAGCCGGGTGTCATAGTCCTCCTGTCCCTGTCATTGTCACATCCCAGTGTCCCCATCCTGGTGTCCCATCACATTCCAGTGTCCAGCTCACTGTCCCCCTCCTGGTGTCACTGTCCCTGTCACATCCCCGTGTCCAGCTCGGTGTCCCTGTCCCCATCCCAGTGTCCCTGTCCCCATGTCCCTGTCACATTCTGGTATCCCTGTCACATCCCAGTGATGCTGTCCCCATGTCCCTGTCCCCGTCACATCCCAGTGTCCACCCCGCCCTCCCCTTCCTCCCCCCCCACCCTCAGGCGCGGGTCCCCCCGGGCCACTGCCAGGACCCCCCCGGTTGCCCCCAGCGCCACCAGCGCCGCCAGCGCCGCCCCCCCAAACACGCCCTGTGCCCCCCCCTCCCCGGGGGGCAGCGCCGGCAGTGCCAGGGCCACCCCCAGCCCCAGGGGCACCCGCAGCCACCGCGACCCCCCCGCGGCCCCCCCGTGCTCCAGCCGGCGCCGCAGGAACCCCATGGCTGGGAAGTAAATCCCACAGGAGAATTCCAGCAGCAGGAACACCAGGAAGGCGCCGGGCGGGGGCACGGGGAGGGCAAGGAGGAGGAGAGAGACCCCCAGGAGTGCGACGGACCCCGTCAGGAGGTGCAGGGGCTGCAGCTGGAGCCCCCCCACAACCCCCTGGCGGAATAGGGATGATCCCACAGCACTTGCTGCCATAAATCCTGAGAAGGCGATTCCCAGTGGGATCCCCAGTGGCTCCAGCACGGGCGTCCAGAGGAAGATGAAGATGAGGATGACGCCCTCCACCAGTGCCTGCACCACCCCCAGCAGTGCCCCGGGGGGGTCCCGCAGCCCCCGCAGCCCCTCCCCACAGGCCTTGGGGCAGGAGCGGTGTTTTCCATAATTCTCATCCCAGTTTTTCACGGCAAAAATCCCAGAAAAGGCCAGGAAGGGCACAGCTGCCACAAAGGGGGTCACGGGCCCCCCCCCCAGCACCAGCAGCTCAGCCACAGCCCCCGCGGCCACAGCCACGACCCCGTTCCAAAGGGCCACGCGGGAGAAGGTGTCTGGGATCCACTCCTGGGGGAAATCGTGGCGCTCCAGGTGCTCGTGGACGTACCAGGACTCGAAGGAGGTGAAGAGCAGGGAGGTGCCGACGCCTCCCAAAAGCCGCCCTGCCGCCAGCGCTGGGAAATCCCGGGAGAGCAGCAGGAGGCAGGACAGGGAGCAGAGCACTGAGAACAGCACACAGGACCTTCTCCTGCCGAGCCGGTCCACAAAAAAGTGGGAGAAGAGCCCGAACACCAAGTTGGAGGCGAATCCCAGTGAGTAGAGGGCGGCGATCTGTGTCTGCAGGAAGCCCCGACTGCGGAACACCTGGAACAGGTGAGGCCCCTGCAGCCAATCAGCTGCTAGGGCAGGCAGGAATCCCAGGTGGAAGCGCCGCTGGAATTCCTGGAATGCCGGGTTGGAGCTGGGGGGGCTCCGGGGAGGGAACTCCAGGAGCAGCAGCAGCAGCAGGAGGAGCAGGAGGGCACTGAGGGGCAGCAGGAGCATCGTGGGGAGGGGGGGGGATAAAGGGGTAAAAGGGGGGAGAAGGGGCAGCCTGTGGGGGGAAAAGGGGGGTCAGTGATGGAAGATGTTGGGGGGCACTTAAAAGGACCCCCCAGGTGTTATGTGGGTGTTTAGCGACTCCAACCCCAGGGAAACCCCCCAGACAGGCTATAGACCCCAGACTCACACACACCCCACAGAAGGCTATAGGGACCCCCACCCCAAGGACAACCCACTGGGGGCTATGGGAAGCCCGACCCTCCAAACAGCCCCAAAGACTCCCACATCCTCCAAGAGCCCCCCTCACCTCCCCAGATCCTCCATAGCCCCCTCCCAGCTCCACAGCCCCCCCATAAGATCCCCATATGGCCCCATAGGACCCCCCCATTGACCCCTCCCAGAGCCCTCCCGGTCCCATAGACGCCCCATAGGCTCCCCATAGACCCCCATAGCCCCCCACATCCCTCACTGGACCGCCATAGGCCCCCCTCAGCCCCACAGAGGCCCCATAGGACCCTACAGACCCCCATAGTGCCCACAGGACCATGCCAGACCCTCCCAGAACCCTCCAACCCCACTGCCCTGTCATAGGACCCCCACAGACCCACCACCCCCCAGGATCCCCGGGGCCTCACGGAGGTCGCAGCGACCGGGCAGCTCCTCCACGGACCCACTTCCGCTTCCGCCTCCCAATGGGCGCCGCCATCTTGGCCCGTATCACGTGACAAAGGAACATTGCCCCTTGGGGGTCTGTAGGGACCCCCCCGCCTTCCCTTGGGGGGTTATAGAGACCCTCCAGCCCAAAGGGACTCCTTCAGACACGCCCCAGACACCCCATGGGGAGGTTATGGCGTCTCTTTGGGGTGGGGGTCCCTGTAACTCCCACCATGGGGTGTCTGGGGGAGTCCCTTCGGGGTGGGGACCCCTATAATCCCCCCCAGGGGAGTCGGTGGCGTGTCACCCGTGTGACGTCACAATGACGTCACACCGAGCCGCCGCGTGGGGGGGATCACTGGGAGGTCCCCGGGGTCACCCTCCCCCCCAGGGTCACAATTCACGGCCCCAAACAAATACCCCCCTGCAACTGCCCCGACCACCCCACAGCTACCCCAACCCCGAGCAACTGCCCCAAACCTTGTGTAATTACCCCCGAGCAACTGCCCCAAATGCCTCAAATCCCCCAGCACAAATCCCTCCTGCAACTGCCCCAGTCCTTATGCAACTGCCCCAAATGCCCCGTGCAAATGCCCAAGTCCTCGTGCAAATACCCCCAAGCAAATGCCCCCCGAGCAAACAACTGCCCCGCCCCCCCGTACAAATGCCCCAAACCTCGTGCAAATACCCCCAGTACTTGTGCACCTCCCCGTGCAATTGTCCCCCCCAGTTGCCCCAGCCCTTGTGCAAACCCTCGAAATGCTCCAACCTCCCCCTGTGCAATTTCCCTTCACCCCCCAATTGCCCCAGTCCAATGGAAACCCCCCGCCTGCCCCACCCCATCCCGGGTCCCGCCCCCTCCGTGCCTCAGTTTCCCCAAATTTGGGGGCAGTCCCCCCCTTACTCACCTCGGCCGCCGGGTCTGGGGGTCTCTGGGGGAGTTGGGGGGGGCAGACCCCCCTCACTTGATGCTGAGGCGGGGGCGGGTGTGGGGGCGGCGCGGGGGGGGGCAGCAACGGGAGGGAGGATGGCACTGGGGGCAGGAG